CATCCTTGCATTCCAGCTGTACCTGTAAACAGGGTGAGGGTAGAAAGAGTGAGGAATGCCTGATTACCTATTTACATGTAAATGGTATCTAGATTCATGTTGTGGGTGCTAGAGAATTTACAATTGCCCATGTGTGTTATCAAAAGATGAAATAAGGCCACCATAGATGAAAAGACCAGGTACTTTCTGGACAACAGGTAAAGGTTGTAACCAATATATCCTCTTCCTTTCTTCTTTCCTTTCTTTCTTTGGCAGTACTGGGGTTTGAACTCAGGGCTTCATGCTTGCTAGGCAATTGCTTTACCACTGAGCCACTCTGCCAGCCCTTTTTTGTGTTGGTTATTTTTGAGATAGCATCTCACAAACTATTTACCTAGGTTGGCTTTGAACTGTGATTCTCCTGTTCTCTGCCTCCTAAGTAGGGGTGATTACAAGTATGAGCCACCAATGCCCAGCTTTTTTCTTTTTCTTTTTTTTTTTTTTTGTGCTGGAACCCTGGGTCTTATGGATGCTTTACACTAAGCCTCACCCCTCAGCCTCTATCTTCTTTTTAGGTATCCCTTACCTGCTGCTTTGTCCTGTTATGCATTGGCAAAAGAATGGAATGGGTCAAGGGGTCTGGAAAAGTTTACCTTACAAATCTCCTGTGAAGTGTGTGTGTGTGTGTGTGTGTGTGTGTGTGTGTGTAGGGTCTAGCTTTTTCCCAGGCCAGCCTGGACCACAGTTCTCATATTTTATGCTTTCTATCACCTGTTCCATTGCTGAGATTACAGGTGTTCCATCACACTTAGCTAATTTCTGTTGAAATGGGGTCTTGGAAACTTTTGCCCAGGCTAGCCTGGAATTGCTATCCTCCCAATTTCAGCCTCCTGTGTAGCTTGAGATGACAGGCACTCCCAGCCACTGGGAGTCTCTTGGATTCCCTGCCTGGGCTGGTTTCAAACCACAATCCTCCTGAATTCAGCTTTCCAAGTAACTAGGATTACAGGTGTGAGCCAGTTGTGCAATGTGTTTTTAAAATCAGCTCAAGCTGGGCTATTGCCCTAATACCATGTATCAGAAAGATCTAATATTCTACCAGTCAAATCAATCTCTGTGTAATGTTGTTACTTTAACAGACCTCAGCACCACAGCCATGGAAGGATGGGTTTCCCCATGGTAACAGACTGTACCAAGTTGTATTAAAAGATGCTTCCTGGGACCTAGTAGTTAGGATTCACCTCTCTCACCACCATGGTCCAGGTTAGATCCCTGGTAAGGGAAATCTTTTTTTTGGCTGGGAGTATAACTCAGGGGTAGAGTGTGTGTCAAAGATCTATTGCATGAATAGGAGAAATGACTTTGAGTCCCAGCCCTCCAAATGAATGTTAATATAGTTCTATTTTGAAGTGTCTCAGTGGGGAGAAATTATTTCTTGGATTTTGCAGGGCAAATATGGATGCTTTGATTTTGTATGCCTCACAGCATGCTTCTAAGTTCACAAGTACAAAGTCCATAATAATATAAATCATTAAAACCACCCATAATAATAATACAGTAAATGGGTCTGCTGAAGCTCAAAGGAAACTAGAAATCCTTTAACTCCTGTATCCCAAAGTCAGGGCTAGCAAGGTGGGTTGGATTACCCACTGATGTGGGTTGGCTACTATTGATTTTGGGCACTCTAGGTATGAGGTAATATTTTATCTCCACTCTCTCTCTCTTTCTTTTTCTGGTGTTGACCAAACCCAGGGTCTTTATACATGTTAGACAGGTACTCCATCCCTGAGCTACACTTCCATCCCTGAGGTGATATTTTAGATTACCACTGAGTTCTTCCAGTCTTCTGGGCCTGGTACCATAAAGAACAAAACCAGTCAATGCATCAGTTGCTTTGATTCTTCTGTAGGGTTGTGTGGCAATGCCTTGCAAGAATGGGAACTAGAAATCCCCAAACAGGGACTTCAAGTATGCCCAAATCCCCAGTGCCCACCAAATCCCCAATTCCCACCCTTCCACCACTCTGTACTCTCTCTAAGATTGTGAGGTTGTGTTTAGGCAGTGTTTGAAGCTCTAGTCTTGGATACCAACATCTCCCTTTGCAAGACGCAAAAGAGGAACAGATTCTTTTGGGTCCATGTACCTGCTGGTCTCCCAGGGCATGGGGTAGAGGAGCTTACATGAAATGCTGGACTTTCTTTGGCATAAAGGCCAATCTTCTTTTCTTCTTTTTCTCCTTCTCCTTCCTCTTTGTGTGTGTGTGTGCTGGAGATGGAGCCCATGGCCTTGTGCATGTTAAACATGTGTGTACCACTAATCTACACTCCCAGCCCAAGGCATAACTTCTGCTCATGCTAAGGAAGATGAGTCACCTTGTTCTCCCATGCCTGGTCATTCCAGATAAGATCAGGGCTCTCTCAGCCTGGCTGTAGGCCAGAGAGGCTGAATACTACCTGGTCATAAAGAGAAAGAGCCCCCCCAGGGGAACAGGTCTAAGTTAGGTCATAGTCACTTTTTTTTTTTTTTCTGAGACATGGTCTTTTCAATGTTGGCCTGGCCACCTTCTAACTCCTGAGTTCAAGTGATCCTTGTGCCTCTGCTTCAACCTCCAGTGTAGCTGAGATTACAGGTATAGGCCCAGCTAGGGCCAGGAGTTACTTATGTCAATTTAATTATCTTACAAGGAGCCTACTTACATGGTCAGCCCTCCATATTCCTGGGTTCTGCATCTGGGAATTCAACCAAACAGATAAAAAATATTCGGAGGAAAAGAAATCACATCAGAATTGAATACATACAATACTTTTTTGTCTTGTTCCCTAAACAACACATTGTAACAATGACTGACACAGCATTTACATTGTAGTAGGGATTATAAGTCATCTAGAGACAATTTAAGGTATATGGGAGAATATGCGTAGGTTATATGCAAATGCTACACCATTTTACACAAGGGATTTGGGCATCCTTGGATTTTGGTATCCTGGGGTGCCTGGAACCAATTGTCTGTGGACACTGAGGAACAGCTGTACTGTATTCTGTCTTTTCCATAACTCCTAGGTCACATTTGGGTTTCTGTCCCACCTGTTATGAGCTATTAGGGGTGGGAGGTAGGTGTCAATAGCATAGGTACACCCTCTCACCCTCTCTCTTGCTTGCAGCTCTGCTGCAGACTTTGGCCCTGGAAAAAATCCCTTCCTTTCTCTCATAGATAAATGCCTGAATCAGTGGCCTGAATGCCAGGTTCTGTGGAGCTGCTAGGAGCCTAAGGAGTCCCTAGGGTCCTTAGAGAACTGCACTCGAAAGGGAGGCTTTGTCCCCTCACCCTGTACCCATTGAAGTAGATGCTTTTTACCTGCTTTATACAAGGGTTCTTGGAAGGAAGGGTCCTTAAACTATAACATTTAGAAACTGCTGGAACTGATGCTCACAATGGGCCTTTTCATTCTGACATATTTGGTCTTCTGAAGCCCAGCTCAAGTCATTCCTGCTCTAGGAAGCCTTCCTGGTTACCTCATCCTGGATACTGGAGCTCTGCCATTAATGACAGTGACCCATCTGATGCCTGTCTGTGTGTCTGTTTTCCTTCCACACCTATGTTCCTTGTAACACCATACCAAGCAGTGGTTCATAAGCTTGCTGATGCTACCCATGTCATGAGCTCTCACATGGGATGCCACCTCAAGACAGATTCTTTGCTGTGGGGAGGGAGATTCAGGCTCTAGTCTGCCAAGTGTCCCTCAGAGAAACCTTTCTTTAGAAGCTGGGTATCTGACCTGGACAGCAGCTTCAGACTCACACACTCCTCAAACAGGGCAGGGCTGGGTTTCTGTCTTAACAGGATTTTATTCAACCTCTTCCATCCTCAGTACCTCTCCTGGTGAGTCCTCTCTATACACTGCAACCACAGAAGAGGCACACCCTTGACACCTAAGAATCAGGTCAGGCCTGATCTGCTGGAGGGATCTCAGAGGATTCCAGAGGGAAGCAGAGGGGAGACGAGGAGGAATTCTGGGGTCTGCTCACAGTACAGCTTATTTTGGAATGGACACCCAAAGGGGAGCCAAGGTTTACACAGAGACACTAGAGAAGGCAGGGAGGAGGAGGGTGGGAGAAGCAAAGGAGCAAGACAGCCAGGGTCAATGTCCCTGAAGCAGGTAGCCAGGAGGAGAATGGGAGTCGTGGTGGTACAGTGAGTCAGGAAACCACTCTGCCATTGACTGGCGACACGACTGGGGAGATCAACCGACTTACTTAGTCTCAAGGTCTTTACTTGCAATTAGGGTAAAGAACTCGTCTGACTGCAGGCCACTGTGTGGTGATGTATGGATATTCCAAAGAGACTTGCCCGAGAGAAATGGAAAGCATTGTTATTGTTCACTCACAGGGAAAGCATGGAGCCTGCGTCCAGAGGGAATCTTGCCACTTAGGGATGTGCCCAGGCTGACCATCCCGCCTCCTCCTTCTTCACTCCCAGTGGCCATCTCTGCTTGGCCTTGGAGAAGTTCTGGTCAGCCTGGTGTGTGGAAGTATAGCAGCGCAGTCCAAGCAAAGGCCTCAGCCCAATTCTGGCCCAGAGAAGCTTCCCAAAGAGTGAGGGGGGAAGATTTAGGAGGCTGTGGAGATTCCCGAGGGCTCTTCTGGTCAGTGAGATACCTGACAAGACCCCAAGGACAGGGTATCCTAGAGTCACTGAACCTCTTGCCACTTGGGAGAGGGCCACATCAGCTCCTCTTGATACCCGGAGCAGTAAATCTGGCCTTCCCCGTTTCTAGAGGAGGGGTCCTTCCTTGTTGGCACAAGGAGAGCCTGGTATTCCCTTGCAAAGGCACGCTCCACTGAGTCCTCCAGATGTGGGGTAAGTAGCAGAAAGATCAAGGCTGGAACATCTGGCAGGGTCTAAAGTCCACAGCCGGAGGGTGAGACTTCCTGTCGCTTTGGAGAAATACCTTCAGGATCTAGCCTGGTGCTGCCCTGCCTTATTACTGCTGGCAGGGTTCTGCACCCCAGACTGGCTTCCCTCAGCTGCTGTAGCCTGAGGTGTGAGTGCTTGGCCTGCGCAGCCAAACATCTGGCAGATCTGGCTGGCTGTTGGGCAGCACCACAGGGCTACTATCCCCTGGCCCGCCACGGCCCTTCCAGGACAAGCTGCTGTGGTGGGAGTTGGACAGGGTTGGGTCGTAGATGGTCTCCTTCAGTGCCAGCCACAGGGTGTCACGCTTCCCGTTCAGTTGGCCTCGCTCAAGTACTGGCTTCCCTGCATCTTCCAAGTCTTCTGGGGAGGCCCCCATGGAATCCGGCATGCGGGCACTAGGCTCAGAAGTGCTGAGGCAGGTGTCATCAGAGACGCTGAGACCCTCCAGGGTGCTGGCTGAGGAACAGAGGCCATCAGGGAGCTCTTCGACCTTGGACTTGGGTGAGTGGGCAGGGGCTTCTGGTGAGGCCTGCAGGGACTCAACTTTCTGCCCTTGGGAGTCCTGCATGACCCAGCTTTTGGGGCTGGGACCAGCCTGCTTATAGGGGGAGGAGGTCTGCAGGGCTGGACACTGGCTGAAGACTGCCTGGTGGTCCAGGAGCAGATCTCTCGGGGAGGCAGGGGCTAGCGGGGGCCGGACACAGCAGTTGCCATCGTGCAGCTGCAGATCCTCAGAGAGCACCGAGGGCCTGTGGGACAACTTGCTGGTGGCTGTGCTGGTGTCGAAGCTGGGACTTCGGCGCCGTGCCAGGGGCTGAAGCTCGTAGTGCTCTGAGCAGGTCCCAGGTATCCCTCCCCCTGGTCGTGCCTTCTCCTCGTCAGGCTCCTCAGTCCCTGCATCCCATGGCAGGTGGGCACAGGGCCACAGGATCTGCCCACAGTTCTTTTCTGGCCCGAAGAAACAGCACAGAGATTGGAAGAAGAAGCTGGCAAAGCCGCAGCTAACGAACTTAACCATCATAAGGATGATGCCCAGCTTGCGATAGAGCAGCACCGTGGCAGGCAACATGAGCACACCAGATGCAAACAGGGCTGCAGTCCCCACTGCTGTGGCACGGCTGGTCTGGCGCAGTGAGAAGGCCACGCGGCTCAGGCGGTCAGGGTGTGGGCACAGGTGATAGGAGATGCAATAGTTGACAGTGAGGTCTACGGAGAGGCCCACTGAGGCAGAGAGAAAGAGGGCCTCAGCAGTGTTGAGTTGCCACTCTAGTAGAACCAGGAGTCCCACAGTGAGCAGTACGGTGCCTGCCACAGCTGCCACAGAGAACAGACTGAGTGGTACATTCCAGGTGCCCAGCAGCAGTGTGGCAAAGGCCAGTGCCAGAGCCAGGCCCAGCACCACAGCAGGCTCAGTGCTTAGGCTGTGCTGCAGGCTGTACAGTTCCAGATGACTGGTGAACCAACCACGACGGAGACCTGGAGGTGCCCTGCCCAGTTCAGTGGCCAGCCAGTGGCTGACCTCAGTGTAGAAGTGGTGGACCTGGCCGTACTCTGGACTGTACTGGAAATTTGTCTGGAACTGCAGGACCAGGGCAGCCAGGTTGCCATGGGCATCAAAGCGAAGTCCCAGATCACGGGTGCCATCGGGGCCTTGTTCCAGAGCCATCATCTTGAGGCAGTGCAGGAAAAGCTGGGGGGCCCAGGGGAACTCTGATTGGCCACAGCAGAAGTCGGGCCCCAGGCGGGCACAGCTGGGGCTTTCCACCCAGTTCTGGAGGGCCTCCATGAAGCACAGCGTGGGCCCACCCTGGGACTGGATGCCAAAGAAGCTCTGATTCCGGGCTCCGTGGCAGAGTGACAGCAGCCAGCGCTGGGCCTCGGGGCTGCTGGGCAAGAAGTCAGGGTCGGTCACCAGTGAGCTGTTGCTGCGAGGGTCCAGAGGGTCGCTAGTGTCTACTGGGAGGACGCCCCACACCATAACCACTGGCAATTGGCCGCCCTCACTTGGAGGCAGCTGCTCGAACAGGAACTGCTGGCGGTACTCGGCATCGAAGCGCTCAAAGGGGTGGCTAGGCCGGAAGACCTGGCCGCCGAGCGGCAGCAGAATCGGCAGCTGCAGGCGGGGGCTGACGCCGCCGATGTAGGCGCCCCCTGCCGCCAGGGCTGCGAACCAGCAGATCCAGATGTACCGAAACTTGATGACGCCACAGGGCAGCAGGCGCTGGAAGAGCAGGCGCGAGAGGATGGCCGCGGCCCTCCGAAAGCCGCGGAGCCGCCGGTGCAACGCCAGCACCAGCCGCCAGGGGTCGCTCCCGCCCCTCGGGCCCTGCGCCCGGGGCACACAGCCGCGCGCCAGGTAGCGCTCGTGGAGCACGGCGGAGGCGGGCAGCCAGACCAGCGTGAGCCCCATGTGCACCAGCACTGCCGTGCCCATGAAGACAGCGAAGCAGCGCACCGCGGGCAGGCGGCTCAGGTAGCTGCCGTAGAAGGCCGCGCCGGTGGTGAGGCCCGAAACCAGCAGCAGGTAGCCAAAGTGGTGCATGGTGCGCCCCACACGCTGCGCCAGCCCCCCAGAGGGCACCTGGCTCTTGCTGAGGCGCCATAGGTCGAAGAAGATGAGGGTGTGATTGACGCAGACGCTGCTGAGCAGGACTACGGCCGCTAGATTGACGAAGGGGAAGTAGGCCATGCGGAAGGCCACGTGGTAAAGAAAGAAGGCCACCATGAGGGAGCCTAGCACCCCTAGCAGTACCATGAGCGTGATGAAGAGCGAGCGCAGGTAGAGGGCGATGCTGAAGAAGATGGCGACCATAGCCAGCAAGGGGTACACGGTATCCAGCGCCAGGTAGTGCTTCAGCAGCTCCTGCTTGAGGCCCAGGTCCATGCCGCTGACCGATGTATAGTTGTCAGAGACGTCCCGGACATCAGCTAAGCCATCCAGGTAGATGTCCATCATGGAGGCCCCCTTCAGGGCGGGCAGGAAGAGCAGGCTGAACTTGAGGGAGGGCACCTGGTAGTCAGCAGTTTGGGGACTGAGAAAGTCTCTGTCTAGCAGGTAGTGCAGGAGTTGGTAGACGGCACTGCTCCTGGAGCACTTGGTAGGAACCTGGGCACAATACGGGGGCCTGTCCTGCCCGGTTCCCAGGCAAGCCGGCACCAGGACACCACGATGGTAATAGGGGGCGCAGGACCTCAGTAGGGTCAGTGTGCGGGCCGCATCGGCTGGGGTAGTGTCCAGGCAGGAGGAGCGGTTGGAGAGTACAGCCAGATAGTTGCCCAGGGACCAACTGGGGCAGCACTCGTTGGCTGCTGTACGCTGGCACAGAGCCCCAAAGTGGGGATGAGAACGGATCTGTAAGGCACACAGCAGGAGAGAGCTCAGGGGCAGTCCACGGGCCCAGGTGTGTTCAGCCCTGCCTCAGTCCCTCTTACTTCTTTCAGGCTCTAGAGCAGAGACATACAAGTATCTTGACAGCCCAGCAGAACTGACTTGTCTCAGAGTTGCCTTTGGCTCCTGGCCAAGATGCTGGCACCTACATCTTGGCTCTGTCCAAGAAGAGCCTCTGGGATGCTGCCCCAGCCTCAGCCTGAGAGGCCCTGCCCTGAGGATTCCTATAGGGTCCAACTCTGCACTGCCTGAGCCGGGGGTAGGAGTGGAGGTGACAACCACAGATGGTACAGGGCCAAAACACCAGGGAGCTGGAAGCAAGCAATGGGAAAATTGGGGGCCAGAAAATTTAGGATCAAGGACATGGCCAAAGCCCAGCCCCTACCTCTCTCCCTGGGCTGCTTAAAATCCTCTTAGGGCCAAAGCTCTTTCTTTTTCATGCCTCCTTTCCTCTCCCACCTTGCTGTTGCCATCACAACAGCTGGTGTAATCCAGAAAGCTCCAACCTGGAAGCCATGGGCCCTGTTCTGCCACTGACTTGCTGTATGGCCTTGGGCCTAAGATCATGGTGATAACAATGGTGACATTTATTGAGTGATTACTAATGCCAGTTGTTATGCTATATTTTTCCAAATTCTACCTCATTTGTTACACATCCCTATGAAGGACATACTGTTATTATCCCCATTTAATATATACTGGGACTGGGAGGGGGTGCAGCTCAGTGATAAGCATGTGCTTAGCATGTACAAGGTCCTGGGTTCAATCCCCAGGCACCACAAAACTAAAACAATACAGAAACAACATATACGAAGACTGAGGAACGTAGTCATGCAGAAAGGGAGCCTTGGATCTGGCCTTGAACTCAGGGATCTGACTCCAGAACACATGTTCTTCTGGTCCTTGGGATAGCCTGATGTGACCCAAGGGGCTTGGGCTATAGAGTGGTTTTTGCACTGTTTTTAGCAGCAAACCTTTCTACAGATGTTACTATGCATAGTTCTCCAGTTAACATAAATGAAGGGCACTGTTGAGTTGCTGAGGGCTGGAGCCTTAAAGCCCACAGTCTCCCTGGGCCAGGGCCTCCTCAACACTCTTGAGGCCCCTTTCCAGGGCCATGTGATAATTCCCAGGCTCTGCTTGGGCTCTTATGGCAGTTATAGTTTGGCTCTTCTAAAAACAGCTGACTTATTTTCCTAATCCAGTAGAATAATTTTCTAAGTAGGGAAGAACTCTTCCCTAGTCACCTTGACAGTCCTGGCTCAGTCCTAGCAGTCCTTGGGATCATGTCCCTCGTTCCCCACCCCCCACCCCCCAGTCCCTGGCACATCCCCAGCAGCTCACCTGTTCCTGTTCAATGTGGCACATGGCGTGGATGGCATGCAGGTTCCACAGGCTGCCCCCCGACGTGGACACAAACACCAGCTTTGCATGGCTCTTCTCTGCAACACACCCCCCCTTGGAGCTCAGCCCTTTGATCCCAGGTCCTGGGCCCACCAGAGGGAAGACCCTCACCTAGAGCCATTTGAGGGCCGTAGTACCGGAAACCTGACACCTGACTGCAGGATCCTACCCTAGTTTCTCACACCCAACTTGACTCTACCAGGGCTGGGATGTAGCTCGGTGGTACAGGGCTTGCCTAGCATGCGTGAGGCCCTGGGTTCGATCCCAGCACCAAAAAAGAAAAGACAAAAAAAAAAAAAAAAACCTCTCCCCCAACTTGACTCTACCTGCAACCTGCTTCCTCATCCCAGTGAAACCCAGTTTCCTTGGCGTGGATGTGTCAGCTGGCTGCTTTCCCTTTCTGTCTGCCCACACTTGTTCTGGGCCTACCCATTCTACTAGGTGGGACCAGGACCATCATTGAACACAAGACTGTCAAAGTTACAGCTTACCAGGGGGTCCACAGAAGAAGTTTTCCTGCCCTTTGTCCTCCGGGGGCTCTACCATCCTCCGGGCTCGGACCACACTCTCCTGGGGCAGGCCCCAGGCCACAGGGCTCAGAGTACTGTGGAAGTTCGAGCTGGAGTAGAGAGAATGTCTATGCCAGGCATGGTCAGGGTGAAGGATTCAAAAGAGCCAGGGACATTCCCCAGCAAGCCCCAGCACCTCCTCTGAGCTGTCTTGAGGAGGTCACATGATGTCCCTCCACAGAGACCTTGTTCTCTCCCTTTGCCACCCTCAGTGGAAAGATGGGAACTTGTTACCTGTTCAGTTCAGGGTCTGGGGAAAGGGTAAGCAGCTTTTTGGGGCCTGTGAGGGCCTGCAGTGCTTTCCAGACCTCCAGCTTTCGTCCAACATCAGTGTCCCGAGGCTCAAAGCCCTGCAGGGAGGAGGGCAGAGAAAGGCAGCTGGGCAGAGAAGGAGCATTCTATCAGGGCCCTTCCTAGCTCCACCCCTTTGGTTCCATGGAGCAGGGGATACTAGCCCACCTGCTTGGATTGTGACATACGCCGTCTCTGGAAGTCAAGAAGCACCATTGCTACCCTATCCCCAGCTGGGCCAACTCTTTGCTACGGACTGAGCTGTGCTAGCCAGGCCTGAGGCTCCTTCCCCTCCCCTTGGCCTCTCACCAGTAAAGGCTGGGCGAAGTCAGGCATCTGGCCTCCCAACATTCCAGCCAGTGTGCAGAGAAGGATCACAGCCAGACACAGCAGCAGCACGGTCATTGGCCACTCAGCAATCAGCTGGGAATAGCTGGGATAGAGGAAGGGAGCCTGCGTGAGTTGGTGTTGGGTGTGGTGGTAGGGGACTGGTGAGCTTAGGGCCCCCCAGGAAAGGGTGGTAGAACAGAGAACATATGGATAGGCACCAGCCTGGTCACCCCTGGAGGTGCAGGGGAGGCCCAGGCCTACCTCTTTGGCATCCGGAAGGCTCGTTCCTGCCTGAGGAAGAGAAGAAAAGACACTTGCTAATCCTTTTAGGTATTAACCCTTTTAGAGCTTTCCCACTCCCAAATTCCACTCCTTTTTTTCTACTCCATCAGAGGCAGGGGATATCTAGACCGCCTCTTAACAAAGGAGTCCAGAGCCCTGGAGGTCTGCTCCACTTTTTTTTTTCTTTTGAACTGGGGTTTGAACTCAGGACTTCACACTTGCAAACAGGCATTCCACCACTTGAGCCATATCTCCAACTCATTTTTCTCTGGTTATTTTGGAGATGGGGTCCTGTGAACTATTTGTCCAGGCTGACCTCGAGCTATGATCCCCCTCATGTCAGCCTCACAGGCATGAACCACTGGCACCTGGCTGATCTGCCCCACTTTTAAGTCCTGTACCATCATCCAGGGGCAGCTGGCATGTGCCCTTACCTGACACTGACCACATGGTGCTGCATAGAAGGTGGCTTCCAGACCCCATCACGCTGTGAGGGGATTGAGGAAGGGCTGAAGTTGGAGCCATGGGAGCACAGAGCTGCTTGGTCTCCCAATCCTAGTAGAGAACTGCCTTCTTGATATTCTTGCGGTGCTCGAGAAAAACTAAAATGACCAGGTGCTAATGGACTAGTCGGGTCTACAGCCTGAAGGGTAGACGCTGTTGGTGCCTGTCCAGCAGAGCCAGAAGGGTCCTCAAGAGGACAGCTGTGCAGGGAGCAGCTCCTCTCTGGGCTTGCCTCAGGAGCCATGGCTTGGCCTGGGACCTGGGAGAGAGCAGGCAGGGAAGATAGGGGTGGATCATTCTAATGTCCCAGAATTGTTCAGTAAGGCAAGGCAAAAAGACAGGAGGCCAGGGTTGTTTTATTACTAGTTCTGCAGCAGCAGGGGAGGTTGGCGGGGGGGAGGGTATGGAAGGGGGCTACAAATCTGCATCTTAGGGTCTATTCTCTCATTTACTCATCCATCCATTCACTCAAAAGACATTGCTGGCAGCCTGCCACATGCCAAACACTAAACGGTGTTTTAGTATACATGGCCTTTTTTTTTTTTTTCCCCTCCAGGTACTGGGGTTTGAACTCAGGACCTGGAGTTTGCTAGGCAAGTGCTCTACTGCTTGAGCAATGCCCCCAGTCCTATATGCATGATCTTATTTACTCTTTACACAAATCCTATAGGTGAGGATTTCCTCATATAAATAGATTTGAAAGCAGTCAGTGAGAGGTGACCATCTGGACCTTGAGCCCAGTTCAAGTTCTTCCAACTTGTAGCCCCATGCTCTTCCTGCTACGGTTGTCTGTGTATTCTTTTGACAGATAACTGTTGAGTACCTACTGCACTTTTGTTCTCATCTTAGAGTCTCTGGGTGTTCTCTTTCCTTTACCTGGTTGCTCCCCCCTCAGACAATAGGAGGACCGTTGGGTGTATGCTGTATGTGTAAGTGACCTGGTCCTCTCCTCTCCTCTCCTCTCCTCTGGTCTCCTCTCCTCTCCTCTCCTCCCCTCCCCTCCCCTCTCCTCCCCACACCTTCCCCTCCTTTCCATCTTTGTTTCAGCAGTACTGGGGTTTTGAAAACTTAAGAGCCTTAAGCTTGCTAGGTAGGTGTTTTAACACTTGAGCCATACCCTCAAAGCCCTTTTTGCTTTCCTTATTTTTGAATAGGAATAGGGTCTTGTGTTTTGTGCCTCAACTGGGATCCTCCTATTTATGCCCCCTGCATAGCTGGGGTGATAGGCATGGACCACCACACCCAGCTTTTTTATTGGTTAAGATGGAGATCTCACTAACTTTTTGCCAGGGTTGCCATCCTGATCTTTGCCTTCAGAGTTGCTGGGATTATAGATTTGAGCCATGGTGCCTGGCTTTTTTCTTTTTGTTTTGTATTTTATTTTTTTTTTGAGAGGTCCTGTTGTGTAGCTCAGACTGACTTCAAATTTGCAATCTTGCCTTACATTCCTAAGTACTGGAGTTAGAACAGGTATCACCATGCCTGGCAATTTACTTTTCTTTTTAAATTTTTTTTCTTTATTTTTTGCAGTGTTGGGGATTGAACCCAGGGTCTCATATTTCCTCAGCAAGTACTCTACCACTGAACTATATTCCCAGCCCATTGTCCTATTAAAAAAAACAACAACAAAACAACTCTGACTTCCATTCAATTATTATTATTATTATTTTGTGGTACTGGAGTTGAACTCAGGGCCTCACACTTGCTAGGCAGGCAGGCAGATGTTCTACCACTTGAGTTATGCCACCAGCCCTTCAGCTCCTACTTCCTCAGAAAAGCCCTGACTACCTTTTCTGGAATAGTTACCCACTGCTCTTTTCCATTACCCTGCTTGGTATTTCCTCATAGCATTTGCTGCAATGGGATGTCATATTATAGTTGTGTTTCTTGCCTGTCTCTCATGTGGAACTTGAGGGCTGGGAAAGCCTGAGCCTGGTGAGTTGGCTCATCTCTGTATTCCCAGTGCCATGAAGATATCTGTGCACACAGAAGGGGCCCAGGGAATGTTCACTGAAGGAACACAGTGCTAGATTGGCTGCTAAGGGTGGTGCTAGGATGAATAAGACCTAGTTCTTGCTTTCCAGGTACACAGTAGTTGGGAGATGCAGATAGTTCAACACTCTGGTTTGCATGAGAAAGAAAGTTCCAGAGAGCTGAGAGTGCCCAGAGAGGGCCCAATTTTAGCAGGGGTGGGGAGAGTCAGGAAAAGTTTTGCAATGGTGACTGCTGCCCTTCCACCAACCCTGTCTTGGAACATGTACAGAGCAGAAGGTTTGCTTTATAAGGATGTGCTCAGTTGGGAGAGAAAGTTGGGACCCTCAAGGAATGTGGGAGGAAGGAGTCAATGATAATACTGCTCCCCAAATTACTCATCAGGACCACACTGTGTATGGATCCAGCCCCACTCCTTTGGTCCAGGGGGAGGTAGAGGCCCACTCCAGGGGCAGGATTGCCAGACCCAGAAGAGGAAAAATGGCCACAGAACAGACTTCCTGGAAGTCATGGGGGTTCCCAGAGGGGTTCAGGGATGGGTGAGTTGGCAAAGCCCTGTCTTCTTTCCCCTATCCTGCCTGGCTTACCCAGAACTTGACGGGCTCCCATGGGAGAGCCAGCTCTCTGCGGAGCCATCCCTGGCTTTCAGTACTACCTACTATCCTGCTGAAGGGGCCATGAGCCAGAGTCATAGGCATAGTGCAGGAGAAAATTGCCTACAGAGACTGAGTTCTGCTTAGAGACCAAACAGGAACTGGAAAGAATAGGCAAGCTCTGCCTTTTTTTCAGGAGAGTGGCTGGCTGGTTCTGCAGTCTGGGAGAGAATGACTCTTGTGCTGAAGTTAAAATGGGGGAGCAGTGGAGGCAGGCTCCTGGCTCTGTCACCCATTAGCTCTGGGGTCTCAGGAAAGACTCACAATTGTTGGAGCACTAGCATCCTTGTCTGGTGAGGACATGAAGATAATGTCCACCTCAGTGTTCATATGAGAATTGATTTCTGTAACATGAGAGGCACGAGGCATGGAGCCTGGTATGAGGAAGACAGTTTGCTTTTCCCCCCTTTCCTGCACTTAGCACTACAGGTAGCATGTGTTTTAAGAAGTATATTTGTATTTACATTTTGTCCTGTTTGGCAAAGTCCATTTCAGGACTTCTCACATGCAATCACACCCTGAGAATCTCACTATGTTTTATTTTTCAGTTCTGGGGAATAGAACCCAGGTCTTTGCACATGCTAGGCAAGTGCTCTACCACTTATCTATGTTCCAGGTCTTTTCCCTTTCTTTCTTTTTTC